CGAATCTGGTCTTTTCTGGAAAAAGCTACCGTCCAAGACCTTCGTTGTAAAGAATGCCAGCAGGATTCGGGGCCGGAAGATGCAGAAGGAACGCATCACCGTCCTGTTTACCACCAATGCCTCCGGTACCTGTAAACCAAAGTTATCGGTGATTCACACAGCCCGCAAGCCGCACGCCTACAAAAATATGGACATGAACAAGCTTAATGTCCACTGGCTAACTGTACGTAAGGCGTGGATGTCCTCTTCTCTGTCCCTCTTCTGGTTTGACGACTGTTTTGTTCCTGACGTGAAGAAATTATGCGAGCAACAGAATGTTCCATTCAACATTTTGTTGCTCCTTGACAACGCACCCGGACACTCGCCCCTACTTATGGATCGTCACCCCAACTTAAAAGTGGTCTTCCTTCCTCCCAACACTACGTCATTAATCCAGCCCATGGACCAGGAGTTGATTTGTAATGTGAAAGCTGCGTACTCTGCAAAGAAGTTCAAGCTCCTGAACGACTCTACCAACACCAAGGATGAGTTGCGTAAGCTGGGTGACACCGACAGCGAGAGTAAAAGCGACGAGGACAAGGAACAAGAGGTGGCGACTCAAGAAGTTCTCGTCAAACAATTTTGGAAGAAGTTTAACGTCAAACAAGCTGTAGACTTCTTGGTGGAGGCATGGGATCAGCTGTCTATTGCTACGATTCGTCACGCATGGCGACATGTGTTGCATGGCATACCAGGTGAGAGGAGGAGTGAACCTGTGACTGGTGAGGTTCAGACTGTTGCAGTAGCAGTGGACCTTGCCAGAGAAGCTGCGCTCAATATTACAGCTGAAGGCTTCTCCGAGACCACCAACGAAGACATCCTGGAGGTGATCAGAGATCCTGAAGTGACTGCCGACAAGATGTTGGAAGAAGATCACGTCAGTGAAGAGGAGGAAGAAGGTGCGTCATTCTCCGAAGAACACAGTTTAAGTCATAGTGATATTAAGGGTGCCATGGAGTGTGCAGAGAAAATGAAGTCCTTCCTTTCCCGCGACAATGACGATGACCGCTATGAAGTCTTCCATACCCGGCTGGTGCAGGCTATGGAGCCGTACATCACGGTGTATCAAGACAACATAAACACCAGCCGTCAAAAAAGCATAACCGAGTTCTTCGCCCGCAACCCACCACAGCCAGCCCAAGCCAGTGATAGTGACAGAGGTAGAGACAGTGAAGATGACTTTGAGGGATTTGTCAGGGAGGCCATAACAAGTGTGGGTGACAGTGATGGTGACTCACCTGAGGGCCAGTAGCCTGCCCTCTGCCTCGGAACCAGCCTCCATCCCCGTACGCCGACCCATCTCTTCTACTAACGTAAGTGTTCAACCATAACTTTTAGTTTTCCTAACTTAACCTTTATTTTTCCTAACCTAACCTCTTCTATATTACTTGTTTTTTCATACCATCATAAAGTTAAGATAAAATTTTTACTACAACATAGTTATGTGTCGTCAAAAAGTGGAGTTTGGGGGTCGGGCCAGTTTCTATTGGAATTAATCCCATATGTTCTGTTGTTCACTTAGCGCGGTTTTCACTTAACACGGTACCCTGTGGGTTTTATTGACCGCGTTAAGTGGGGTACTACGTGTGTGTGTGTATATATATATATATATATATATATATATATATATATATATATATATATATATATATATATATATATATATATATATATGGTAAATAAAGCTTAGTAAATACAACAGAAATAATCATTCAAAACTCACCGTGTCAACTTGGTGATCCCGGACATTTTGTTTCCTGACAGTGCCGGAAACGGGTGAGTGAAGCTTGTTTGGACCGACGCATATAATGGATACTGTCGTCAGGTTTGGGTTGACGCTCAATACGCGGCACGTTACGACACTACCGGCTTCTGGCATCACCGTGCCCTCGCGTCCCAACGTGACCTGAAATGGAGAGGTTATCAGAGGAACAAGAGGACCAGAAGACTATAATGATGGAAAGACATGATAATGCAAAAAAGATGACACTGAGCAATTTTAAAGAATGGGGAAATATTGGTGAGTGAGGCAAGACAAGTGTGGATAGGAAGAAAAGAGGCAGGCTAAAACATCACTTAATACAATAGTCAGCAACATGTGGCAACCATCGTAGCGCATAACTATCAAAGTTTATTTCAGGTCTTCTCTGTAAATAAACTGGTAGAGACCTACTTTCATCTTGTTTTGGTGATGATTTCATGTCTATAACTACAGTACTGTAATTCAATTGTCTAGGATATTGCATTCTACTTCTTGAAAACATATGGGTTCAGGGTTTTATCAGTGACCAGGTACTGTATTTGTTTAATTTGTTTTAAGTATTTATAGCCCCCTAGATTCCATAACAATGGAGGGTCGAGGATAAACAAATCTGTGTGCGCGTGTGTGTGCGTGTGTGTGTGTGTGTGTGTGTGTGTGTGTGTGTGCGTGTGTGTGTGTGAATAAATGATTACACAGCTGCCTTACATACACATCTCCCTCATACCTTCACAACTTGGACCTCTCCTCTGGGGATGACTGTGACATGTCCAGCAAGGGAGGCGTAGATATACTTATTGAAGGTGTAGGTTCCCTCACCGGCTATGAGGCAGCTACTTGCTCCACATATTCTCTGCCCCGGAGAACAGAGAATGTGCCCATTGCCAGACTTCATGTTTGAGTAGAATGTCTGAAAAGTGTTCAAATACCTCCTGTATTATCAAAGGTGAAGAAAAAAATCAATCTTGTTCACATAATAGATGAACATTGTACTAACAATGTACAGTATTGCAGGATAGGTGATCATCATCCTTAAAATGATGCAAGTGATATATGGTACAATATGATGATGAACCAACCTAACCTAGTTTAGGTTATGTTAGGTAGATTAGGTTAGGTATGGTAGAGAAGTTTTATAGGTTAGGTTAGTTTAGGTTTGGTAGGATAGGATTGGTAGGTTAGGTTTAATACGTTAGGTAGGTTAGATTTGATAGGATAGGATAGGTTTGGTTTGGTTAGTTTAGTTTAGGTTAGGTTAGTTTAGGTTAGGTTAAAAAAGGTTAGGTTAGGTTAGTTTAGGTTAGGTTAAAAAAGGTTAGGTAGGCTCATCATAACTCTGATAAATCAAATGATGTGGTAATGCTCAGTGTTCTTCTGTATGGAACAGCGGAGTTGTCAAAAATTAAAATGGTGGCTCAACATTGCTCGTGGATGCACATTAGTGTTCAGGATGAAAGAAACTGAAAGAAGAAAAGAAAAAAGATTCACTTAACTTGTGAAGCCACTTAATTATGGGGATTTTCTTGAGGTACGGAAGAAGGGTAACAGTGGAAGTAAGTACTGTAGCTACATGTACTGCATGTTAATCTGGTACTTGTGAATACTTGCATATTGACGATAAATAGTTCTTAATACTACATAAAGAAAATATCATCAAATATCAAGATTTACAATTTGTGTTATACAATATTATTTTCTGTAATTATTTTTCATCCCAAACACTAATCTATGTTTACATACAATGATTTCATATTACTGTTTACATCCAAAGGTTTTGTTTCATCCACAGGAACACATCAAACAACTTACAAGCTACCAACAATAATAATAATACAGTAATAATAATAATAATAATGATGCCCAGTAAAATTGTCATACAGGGGCTGCATACTCTAAAGCATTTACAGGACTGTATCTGTTTGTTTACCCTGTAACTGGAGTAACAGTCCTCGATCGGTATACTCAAAACAAATATTTGTCAGTGGACTGCATAAGCGAGTCCTAAAGTACTGTAACATGCTCAACCCGGATATAGTAAGTACACTATTTCCCGATTGCATAAAAAAAATATATATATGTTGTAATAATGCTTGCTAGACTACTTGTTTTATCATAGAACAACGAAGGAAATGTTATATGCATCAACTCACTAAAATACGTTATTACAGTTTGTCTTTTTAGTTAATTTTTTTTACGATAAGAAGAGGCTTGAGTGTTTCTATTTACGACTGAGTAAACTTGCAGATAGACCTTATTAATGTGGTATAGCCGTAGATATCCCTCAGTAATGAAAGCCTATTTTCTTAGGTAGGATATGGCTTATGATAGCATGATAGGCTCTACATGTCCATGGGCTAGCCAAAATGAAATGATAATGGGCATAAAATATGGATTGCAATTAACTTGATTAAGCTAGGGGCCTATATAACTGCCTTTTCACTCTTGTTTAAACTTGGGAGGCATGATTCTTCAGTTTGACTGTACATCTCAAGTCCAACTTCCATAAGATTATTTTATTTCTTTTGGTAGGTCCTTCCATCTTTTGTTTACAAACAAACTACTATCACATGCGTCGATCTCAGCTGATTTCTCCTTCTTTTGTGACTGGTCGACGATTTTGTTAACCAAGCGACGATTGGCCAACTAGCTCATACACTGCCATCTACCTTCGGACAAGAGAACTGAATTACAGTGTAAACACTAAAGTTACGGACTACTTACGGACCTGCAATTAAATTTTGAGTATAGTACTGTAGTATGAGAAATTTACAGGACTGTAAGCAGTCTGTAAGTTATGGTACTGTATGTCTGCTACTGTATGTAACTGATAAGGCATTTTGAGTATGCGGCCCCAGGTCAACATAAATACAGTGAACCATTGAAGATTCAGACCCAATAAATCCGGATTTCGGAAGATTCGGACAAAATTTGGGGGTTCCAGGGACGAAGAAGCCTCCCTAAGAAGCATTCCCAAAACAAAGCAAAGATCAACTTAGGCTCGTGTAACTAAGACGTCAGTGCATAGGACACAGGTGCCCGAGACGGGAAACATAAACAGAGCTGTCATTTGTTGTTTGTGGGAATATGATTTCATTCACTCTAGTAATGATACAATGTTTCTTATTAAACTGTATTATCATAGGTTAATGCATTATTTACGTAATTTGTTTATCACTGTGCCTATCACAATTTTCAAATTAGACTACAAGATATGTATTTCTCCTATACATATTTCGATCGTACGTCTGGCAACAGGGGCAATTGAGTGACCACTAGTTGGCACGTTGTCTGCTCTTGTAACTCTCTTCGCTCCCTGCCATATTTTACTGGATTTACTGTTTTTATTAGTGTTTACTGATATAATGGTGCTTAATAGTGATTAATCATGGCATTGTAGCCAGGTTAAACTCATCACTGTAACCACCAGGCTACTAAGCCAAGCTGTGAGGTGTTATGGTTATTTTTCAACTCGTACTTTCGAGTAGATATACGTGACTTTCTTTAGTTACATGCACACACCATCCTATATACATACTGTATTGTGAAAAAAATAAAAGAAATAATTGTCCTAAGGGCAAACACGTAATGGGAGGAGAGAGCAGAATATGGGCAGGGCTTTGAAGTAGAGGGAATATGTGGGGTAAAATACTCATATATAAAAAACAAAGAAAACAAAAAAAAACACAGGGTAATATTGATGACTGACCTGCCGACAAGTTACTGTATTTGTTTTGGTGTTTATTTTCTTACTCTATTTTCATCAGTGAGTTCTGATATGATAATCATTTCTTTTGCAAATGCTTCATTTGGTAGATAATTAGGCGCCTAATGTGCCCACTACTTTGTCTTTTCGGCGGTAATGCGGCAAACTTATGTTAAGGTTGGGTTAGGTAAAAAAAAAAAAAAAAGCGTTTGCACAAACTATGAGTGTCTTCTATAAAACGATTTTATGTTAGGTTAGGGTAGGGTGTCCTCTACAGAACACAGTGAAATTGTGCCATTTTGAAATAATTTACTTTGCTAATTCACAGGAGGGTCAGTCGTCAATAATTACCAAAACACTAAACAAACTTTTGAAAACCTGACCTAATGTTTCCTAAACTTTAAAAATCCTAAAACTATAAAAAATTACATTATTCATGTTTTCGGTGTTTAGTAGGTGATGGTGTTGTTTTCGGTTTTTAGTACGTGTTGGTGCTGTAATTTTATTGATTAAAATACTGTATTGTACTCGAAAAATAAAAATTTCTGACGGAAATGCTAGAAATGTGCCTTAGAATTTTCTAAACCACTCATTCCAAAACTTAAAATCCTAAAATTCGCTGGAAGACCGAAACGATAATAATACCCGACAAATTATATAATGCAATAGTATCTTGTACTTTGGGAAGTTCTCAGACTCGCCAAAGTGGGGTTGGCTGATTTAAACCAATGGGTATTTTGTCGTGACCGGTTCCTACTAACACTATTTTACTCTGAGTGTGAATTGGAAAAATTTTTCTAATACCACTTTTGTTGCAAATGTATATTACCGAGACATAAATTCACACAAGAAATAAACGTAAATCTGCAGCCACTGCGTGTCGTCTCTTTGCGTACAACTAACCCATTAGGTCTGAGCGTACTCACGTCCACAAAAAACATAAAATTACACCATGGTGCTTCAAAAAAGTTGCTTTCATTTTTATGAGATATCAAAATAAGTATACTGTACTTTCTGTTTAATATGGCAGAGATGGCTAGGAAGTTTGGTAATGTTAGGTAGGTTTCTTTGGTTGGTTAAGTCAGGTTTTATGGGGGTGATAATCCAACATGACTCATTTCTGACAGAAAGGAAGATCAAATTCGAAAGAATCTCACCAAATACCATGAAAAAAAAAATTATGGTCGAACAGTAGGTGGGGTTGAAACTTCAAATTTACCGCCGTTTTGATTGCCGGTAATGGACGATTAGGCAATGAGAGCGCATTCATGGTAAAATAGTGTTAGTAGGAACTTAACCAGTCATGGCAAAATATCCACTACCTTAAATCAAATGGTTATTAAAAAAAAAAAAAAAAATCCAATCTACTATAAGCCTTTATTCTTGGTTTTAATGATTTATAGTAGATTTGGAAAAAAAGACATATGATTGGGTGAACAAAAAAAGCATTGTGGGAGGCTTTACAAGTGTATGGGGGTGAGAGGAAGAATACTAAATGCAGTACAGTATAAGCATTCTATGAGGACAGCAGGGCAACAGAAAGAGTAAATGGGAAAGAAAGTGAAACATGAAATAAATGTAGGTGTTAGACACGGATGAGTGATGTCCCCGTGGTTGTTCAATATACAGTGGACCCTTGCTCTATGCGCATTCACTATACAGTATGCGAATTCGTGTTTCTGCGGTGACCCTATTTCTACCCATAATTCATTTTATGCGGAAAAGATTCCCTATTATGCATTCTGTAGAAGATATGGTGCACTAAGTTTCATTATATTATATTATACAGGAAAGCCTCCAATAACGACGGTTCTACTAACGACGATTCACATTTAATACACTAGTTAATTTGGGACCCAATTAAATTTACACTGTTATTTTCTTCATACAAGGTGATTACAACGAAAATAGAAGTGGCGAGTGGTGATGTCAACTTCACTGGTATAAACAGTCGCAGCTTGACGGGCCTTTTGTTTTCACACATCTGAACAGGAAATGGAGAAAAACTTTCTCAGGTTTCTTACGGCATTTTTGTGTCCCTATTCAACATTAGCTAGAGAGCAAGTGATGGTAGTGCTGGATCAAAAACTAAAAGAAAGTGTATAAACTTAGCCGAGAAACAAGATGTGTTAAAACAATATGAAGAAGGTGAGAGGTCTGTGGATATTATATGGAGCAAGCAATGAACATATTTTCTGAAGTGGATCCAATAACAGAACGAAGCATTAAAATTAACAGGGACGTGAAAAATGCATATGACCTCTACATAAAGATGTATAATCAGAAAAGAAAGATGCAATGCAAGATTCTTTTGATGGCCTAAACCACCAACTTCAGCTACACCACCAAATTCAGCATTGGCAGCAGCTTCAGCAACAACTACAGGATTAGTAACAGTTTTAGCCAGAGTTGAACCTACAGTTTCAGCCAGAATTGAACCTGATGACTACGTCATCTGAGTAAAAACTCACACAACATTCATTGGCTTTCAACTTTACCACCATTGGTGATTAAATTTTAGCTTTACATTAGTAAGTATCATTTAAAACATATATAAACAGTAATAAGTGGTGCTTTCATATTATTATGTTGAAAAAGAATGATATTTTTCACATGTATGCAGTTACACACATTGGCTTTGGCAATCCGTCTCGCTTTTTTCTTTACAAATAGTGGTTCATTACGTCTATTGATCCATTTATTAACATTAAATAATATTACTTAAAACATATACGTACTGTATATTCATTTTTTTACATTAATTTTACTACAGCAACAACCAGGGTCTTGTTTTCTTCAGTTTCAGATGGATAACTGACATTATGGGTGGAAACACTGACAACAACAATAGCGTCCCATCTCATCTTGTGTGACCATATTATTATTGATTTGCATTGTACAAGGTGCATTCATAAACATTATTTAAAGAATATACTGTAGTTTGCATTTTTCATAAATGTTATTGTCTTGGGGGGAAAAAGAGGGTAAAAAGCCACACAAAATATATGAAAAGGTCAGACTTTGGAACGCATCTCATTATTATTGCTTTATTTTAATGGTACAGTAATATCCCCATTAGCCAGAATCCTTCAAACCCGGAACTCTCCAATACCTGGAATTGAAATTTTCCCGGAAAATTGTTACCAGTTTGAAATTTTCTGAAAATTCCAGTTTTGGGAACAATATTCCGGGAGGCACATTTTCCTGAAAATCCTGAGAAAAATCTCCCGATACCCGGAAAACTCCGGGGATGGAGGATTTTTTCCTGGGTTTGAGATGAAAATCAGGCACATTTTCCAGAAAATACTGGAAAATTCCGGGGATGGGGGATATCTTTCCGGGTTTGAGGGATGATGTAACGGGCAATTTCTGGAACTTCTGAGAAAAATTTTCCGTTACCCGAAAAATTCCGGTGATGATGGATTTTTTCGGCTTTGAGAAAGTCGTCTAGTTCCCCGAAAATTTCTCATTCCCGGAAGTGCTCTGCACCAATTGTTCCGGCTAATGGAGATATCACTGTAATTAATGATTCATGATACGATGATTCACCTTACACTGCAATATTGGAGGACACATTACCATCGTTATTCGAGGTTTTACTGTATTACATTATATTATACCTGCATTATATTCATTTCTAAGCCACGTTAGAGTATTTTAATTATTTTTCTACAACTTTTACAGCATTAATGCTCCAAAAATGATTGTGAAACGTGGCACAGTGTGTGTGTGTCTACTGTGCTGTATGTGACGTCACGGGACGTGGCTGGAGTGGTGTCAGCCACTCCACACACACACTTTCCACACAAACACCCATGCTCTTCATATGTCTTAGTCTATAGTTTTATATCATATTTTATAGTTTTATATTACATTATCTTTATTTATAACCCACATTAGAGTATTGTATGATTTTTCCACAACTTTTATAGCATTACTTTTGACTTTTAGTAGTTGTGGAACATATCCTAATTCTCCCCATAAAATTAAGTACCTATTCACTATATGCAGATTCCCATTATGCTGTGTTGTCACATAACGCAACCATAGAAACAGCAAGGGTCAGGTATAGACATGGATGGGAACTATTATACATTGGTGAAAGTCGTGATCATAAGCTTTCTTACAGGGCTGCACACATCTCAAATCCTGATTATAAGGGAGCCAAGTTGTCACTGTTCAGTATAACTCGCGACTGATTCTGTTTATGGTTGGACTCTGAGCCTCTGATTCTAATGTGTTCAGATCATGTATTATAGGGGTCCAGGGGAGCCAAGTTGCCATTGCCCATTTCTCTCTCTTTCTCTCCAGATGTACTTAAATGAAATCTTTAAAAACATGGAAGTCTGCGATGGGTGTCACTTCAATTATTTGGAGCTGATTGTGCGTTTTTGGGAAAAACGAACAAGCTATAGCATTTTTTTTAGATCTCATGGTGTTCTCCCGACACCAGGTAAGTGTCCTAAGAGTAAGAATGAGTGTAAATATTGTCAAGACCAACATAGTTGGCATTATAGTAACTCATTCCTTATTCCCAAAACAAAGAAGAGACATTGGTGTTCGTATACCATCACTGATTATAAAGGAACCAGAACCAGACAATAAGGTAAGAAATAAGTGATTCCAACATATGGTGAGAGTTAGGTCAGGTCAGGTTAGATCAGGTCAGGTCATGTCATCCCAAAAAAGGGTGACTTTATAATTTTACACCGGTCTTTCTTTCGCTGTTATTAATATGTATTTTCGTAATGTTTAGACACTTCTAAGGAATTTTTCTTCTATGATATTTCCATCAGAAATTACAGATAACCGAGATATTAATTTGTAAAAATTTTTATTTTCGCTCATTCACAAGTGTCGCCATATCATGTTTACATCTGGTGGAGGAGGTCTGACACCCGCTCACGCATTGTTCCAGACCTCCGTGTTCACTTCTTAAGCGTCTACAGCGCATGTGCGGAGGGTGAAATGGGAGTTTCATATTGGCTATAGCGATAGGAGTAATTTTTATTGAGCAAGATTTTTTTATGTTTTAGGCAATGAACAATGAGTGGGTGGGTCGGGAGCGGAGATTTGAATTTTGAGTACCAGATATGGCTGAACAGTTGGAAGAGCTGTGCTGACATTGTGAGAATTATTATTTTGTGTCAATTGCATAGTTACACCAGAAAAATAGTAAGGCAATTTCAATTTTTTTTTTTATAAAACACGGTGTACAGTCGGCCCTTAACATACGCGGGTTTATAATACACGGATTTGCAAATGCGCGGATTGCCCCACCGGAGGAATATTCTGTACATTCAAATCGCGCGCCATTCAACTCGCGCGCGGCACCGAACACGGGACACCGCCCGCTCCCGCAACCTCTCTCTCTCACACACACACACACACACACACACACACACACACACATAGCTCTCCCTCACTCAGTCAGTCTCGCTGTAACCACGCTTGTGTTGACATCAGCATTGTAGTTGCAAAAATATTACATTTCCGTAAATGTATTATATCAAGCGCAGTATGAATAGAATATCACTAATATAAGAGTATTTTAACCGAAAACTACTAAAAAAATGAGTAACATATCTTGAACATCGGAAGGTTAGGTAAAGTCTTTTGTTGTCATGTAGTTTATCCTAATTTACATTGAAATGCATTACGTTTCAGCAAAACTACTATTTATTTCTGAGAATATGGAAATGTAATATTTTGCTGAAATGACGTACGTATTACAGTGGAAAGTGACGGAAGCAATGACTCGCTTTCTTTCGTTGAAAAGATGTTACCGTAATCGCTTTTCGAATGGTTTTCAGTTAAAAAACTGTTGTATTACAATAATATTCTATCCTAATTCACTTGTGGTGTAACAGTTTTTTTAACTGAAAACCATTCGAAAAGCGATTACGGTAACATCTTTTCAACGAAAGAAAGCGAAAGTCATTGTTTTCGTCACGATTTTATCCCACTTTCCACTGTAATACGTACGTCATTCCAGCAAAAATATTACATTTCCGTGAATGTAGTATATCAAGCACAGTATGAATATAATATCATTGTAATATAACAGTATTTTAACCGAAAACTATTAAAAAAACGAGTAACATCTCTTGAACATTGGAAGGTCAGGTAAAGTCTTTTCTTTTCGTCATGTATTTTATCCTATTTTACATTGAAATACATCACGTTTCAGCAAAACTACTATTTATTTCTGAGAATATATTCATTCAGGCACAGTTTAGGTAAAATATACATGTGCTGTAACATTTTTTTAATTGAAAACGATTCGAAAAACACGTACCCTCTAGCCCTGTTCAAGCAGAAGACTGGGAGGAGCTGTTTGGTGCTTTAGACGATGACAAGGAAAATGATTTTGATGGATTTTAATGAAAATATTCAGAAAGACCCTGGCACTGTCAAGGAAAGTGGCTGCTGAAGGCTTCCAGGACATGGCAGAGGACGAGATTAGGGAGCTAATTGAAGAGCACGACACTGAGCTGACCGAGGAGGATCTACAGGAGTTAGTAGACTCGGAAGAGGAAGCGAAAGGGAAAGAGGAAGAGGAAGAGCACCAAGAAATAACGTTGGAGAAGTTGGGGGAGATGACCAGGAATATTGAGGCACTGAAAAACCTGGCCTATAGTATGGACCCCTCCATGGTGCATGCGCTGAAATTCATGCGAGGGATGGGTGACGTTTTCGCTCCATACAAAAACATCATGGAAGAAATGAATGAAAGAGACGACAACTCCCCATCACCATGTTCTTTGATCACCTAAGGAGAGATTTAACACCATCAATCACTGGCGGCAGTGAGGAAGCAGCTGAATCCACCGTCGCCCCCACTTCACCACCCGTTATGGAATTGAGTGACGATGAGCCCGATGACTCCTGTCCTGTCGCCGAGGATAGGAACTGTACAGTAAAGTGAATTTTTATCTCTTTTTTTTATTAGCTTTTCTTGCCATGTTTATTGTTTGTAAAAATGCACAGCACAGTACA